TGTGTGTAGATGTGTAGATAAAATAATTGTAAAGAAGCTAAAAATAAGTAAATAAAACTATTACATGGACTGAAAATGTACAACAAGTAAGAGGTCCAACTCAGAGACACAGCTGAGGTGAAAGAGGCCACGCCCCCAATACACGCCCACTATACACATTTATTTCTGCTGTACCGTCGAACAACACGAGGGTCTATGGGACGGACCGCCTCCCTGCTGGACGTTAGAGGAAGTTTCATTCATGGAAAAGTTCACAACTGCTCACAGCAGACACGACCTTTGACCTTTGACCATAAACCTTTGGAAAAGTCTGTTTGTGATTTTGTTTTTAAGACCCGAAGTAAGGTGAGCGCGCTCCTCTGATCATGTGACCGAGGTCGAACGAACAGAATCATCACAGCGCCCCGGCTGCTCGCCGCCTTGCACAAGAGGTGGAGGCAGAGTGTGTGTGTGTGTGTGTGCGTGTGTGTGTGTGTGTGTGTGTGCATGTGTGTGTGTGCGCGCGTGCGCGTGCATGTGTGCGTAGGTGCGCTCTGACCAGAGTTCAGCAGCTCCTGCTCCATCACGCCACAGCCCAGCACCTCCATCCAGTCGCCCTGGAAACGCACCTCCATCTCAAAGGACGGGTGGGTGAAGGGGAAGTAGCAGTCGACCCACCTGATCTCCAGATCTGAGGAGGAAGACGAGGAAGTGTGAGGAAGAGCAAACCTAACCAGACGTCCTGGTGGGCGGGGCCTCACCTGCTCCGAACAGGTAAGAGACGAGTTGTGTCAGAGTGCGTTTGAGGTCGAACTCCACCAGCTTCACCGCCTCCAGAGTGTGCGTCTCCTGCTTCTCGGGAGACCGCCGCCCTCCTCGCTCGAACAGAGACAGCTCGCCACCGTTCTGCACCCGGGAGAACAGCTGAGGGACACGACACTCCGGGTCAGGTCACGTGATCACTACGTCACCTGTCTAACCTTTTCATTCTGAGCACCTGGCGGTTGGAGAAGAGTCGCACTCCCTCCATCTGGTGGAAGACGGGGTAGTGGCTGGCGTCGATCTCGTCCCGCCTGTAAACGTCTCCGGCCAGCAGGAAGGCGTCCAGCCCCGACCTCACCAGGTCCCTCTGGTGGGCGGACGTGTGAGCGCGAAGCATCGTCGCCCTGTCCCACATAAAAACAGGGTTAGTGACGCCGATGGAGAACGCCGAGCGCTCGCGGCAGAAGACATCAGCTCTCACCTGTTCAGGTAATAGTTGTCTCCTCGTTTCCTGCTGGGGTGTCCGGGCGGGATCAACAAGCTGTCAGCAAAACACAAAGACTCACAAAGTAACACTCGATAAACCAGAACAGGACGCGAGCGTTTCATTAAAATCTAACGAGACACAGTCGTCCTCGAGAAACCAGCCATTTAAAAATAAAAGCATAAAGAAGACAAAGTAAACCACAGCAGCGTCTCTGTTTAGTGATATTAGTGGATAATGTGACAGGAAGCTGCCGACCTGTCAAAGTTCTGCTCCGTGGTCACCACAGGACTCAGGTTGTCGTGGACGGAGAACAGGGGGTTTCCCGAACGGCCGACGAACGAGCTGCGGGTCAGAAACACCGTCAGAGTGAGCAGACACACTGGAAACTGTCCTGCTGATGAAGCAATAACAGGATGAGCTGCACCAAAACGTCACATCACGACTGTGTTTAAACCCACGTTAACTTCTTATATGAACAGATGATTTAAGGTCCACAAATCTGTACTTAATGTAACATGCTGTGTTTAGCTTTATGC